GTATTGGTGAACAAAATCCTAAGGAGCATGACTGAAAAAAGGGACTCTAAAGTCTCAATCATTTATACAGCAAAGGATTTATCATCAATGTCAATTGCAAACCTTTTTGGAAAACTAAGAGGGTTAAATAGAACTAAATAGAAGAGCCCGAAGGGAGCAATCAAATTAAAAAAAGAAAAGTCTTGCACTAAAAGAAAAGGAACAAACTAAAAGTGACAAGAGATAAGTGATGATGAAGAACTTGGACTTTTGGTCAACAAATTTAAAATGTTGGCCAAGAGAAGAGGTTGTGCAAGCAAGAGTAGCAATGCTGCCAATTTTAAGAAATTATATGACAGCAAAAAGCCTCTTCCAAATTATACATGCATTGAGTATGGAAAGCAAGGACATTTTAGGACTGAGTTCCCTGATGTGAAAAAGAAGAAGAAGGATAAAAAAGCCAAAAAAATTCATCAATGGGAAGAGGAAAATTAAGAAAGCATACATGGCCATGGAAAGTGATGATACAAGCTACTTAAGTTCTTCAAGTTCATCTTATGAGGAGGAAGTAAGTCTATGTATGATGGCGAGTGTCAAAAAACTTACTGATTCTGAGGTAAAATCTGAAACCTATGACGAACTAGTAAAAATTACTCTAGTTCAACTAATTGTGATCCTACCTATGACGAACTAGTAAAAATTGCTAAAGGTCTGCTTAACATGAAAACATAGCTAGATAAAGATCTTAAAAATGTTAAGCTAGAAAGAGAAGAGCTAGAATCAAAGTTCGTATAATAATGAATTGATTGATCTTATAAAGAAAATGCATACCTAAAAGATGAAATATTTGCTATGGATGAATCTGATTTGCGTGTTCCCTCAAATTCTAACTCTTGTGCTAAATGTATTATGTTGTCCAAAGAGTTAGAGAAACTAAAATAAATTATATGTCACATGAGTAAGGGTAGAGACAATTTAAATGCTTTATTAGGTAGTGAAAGAGTTTCTTTTAACAAGTTTGAGTTAAGATATGATGATATCTCGAAGAGAATAGAATATGTACATGCTGGTCCCTCTAAATTTATGTCAAATTTGCCTTTTAAAAATGCACATATTGCTGCCAAAAAGGTCACATTGCCTACACATGTTATATAAGAAGATTTGGCTTGAAAGGTACAAATTTGGTATGGGTGGGTTCCTGAAGGTTCTATAGACACATCATCTTATTTTCCTTCTCTCGCTAACGCTAAATGACCCATGAAAGTATAGGTACCTAGATATATAAAATGATTATGCGATGTAGGTATGCTTTAGGTCACGGAGTTCAAATTGGTATTTAGACAGTGGATGCTTAAAGCATATGACTGGATACCCATCCAAATTTACAAGCTTTATCAAGAAGAAACATGGATATATCTCATATGAAGATAATAACTGATAACTCTCTGGTGAAGAGTTATTTTTAGACTTTATTTACATGATTTGGTGCCATATTATATCATAATTACCTTAGAATTGCATGATACTAGCATTAATCTTGTCTCTTTATATTTTGATTGAGAAATATGCTAAGTGTTGATATTTGATGTTATTTCGAGTGCTAGAGCAGTTCACTATCTTTGTTGTTTTTGTTGCAGATTAGATCTGTAGTTCTGAATGACAGAGCTGTAGCAATCAGGTTTAAGTGAAATAGTGCGTTGAAGGTACAAGAAGTAACTAACTTTTGAAATTCAAATCCTAACAGAAAGATAAGAACGCTGCAACACTGGATCAGGATCAAGAAGTTGAGCAAGATAAAGGATAAACACATATAACTTCAAATCCCTATATTTTAGCTAACAAGAAGATCAAATCAAGAAGTTGTGCAAGATAAAAGATAAGCACATATCACTTCAAATCCCAAGATTTTAGCTAATAAGAAGATCAAATCAAGATTAAGGGATAAACATATATCTTATTCAGAAGCTAATTGTTAGGGATTAACTACTTGAAGCCCAAGTCACCATTTTCTATATAAAGATAGTTACAACAATGGATAATGATTGGAAAGACGCGAAAGTTGAAAGATAAGATCTAAAGCTTGTCAATCCCTACAATTTAGTAACAAAGACGATAAATCGCAATCATTTTGCGAAGCTACTTTTGAGGGAATTTGAATTATAGAGTTAATTGAAGCCCAAGTCAGCCACATCAATAAATAAAGATGCAGAAACACACTTCAACTCACCTTGTTGAGAGAGATCCAGCAGGTCAAGGGGCGAAACTACTTTGGTGGCTGAGAGATAGTGGAGAGTGGCAGTGCGTTGAGTTTCTACGAGAGCAGAGCTACAACAACGCTTTTGTCTTTCTTTATCTTAGTTTCCATGGATCTTTCTTCTTCTTTTCTTCTTTCTTTTCTATTTCTTTTCTTTCAAGTATGAACTAAATTGTCTAGGATTGGGTGAAAGAGTACTCGTATTGTGATGTAATCATTTTGTCTAAACTTTGCTATGTAATTTTTCATTAAGTTGTTTAATAAAATGTTAAATTGTCTCAATCTTGTAAACTCATTGAGAGAGAGTTGAGAGTGTTATGGGGTTTAGGCTATAGAGATATAGGTCAGCTTGGAAAGTTATTAAACATTGTGGATTAGAGGTGTGGACCAGGATAAATACTGGTGTAAATTTCCTTATTCCCTGCTTGGTTACTTGCTTCTATTTTCTGCTAATTGCAATAAAATAATTTCAGCATTATGTTAAGTTTAAGCTAAGTTGCTGCTGCGATTTTGTGATAAACAAAATTTAAAAAAAAAATTGTGAACTCTATATTTGTCTTGTTAGGATTAGATTTGTTGTAATAAAAAGTTAATGCTTATTGCTGCTGTTGATTAGTACAAATACTCTAATATTAAGTCAATAAAATCTGAATTGGTGTGATTGCTGCTTGAACTACTATAAATTGATATTTCATTTTTTTAGATTGATTAACTTTGTTAGTAACTGTTTATCTGCCTTCCAATAGTAAAAATTCAATTGTGAAGTAGGAAATCAAGCTGAAACTTGATATAGATACTATTTGCAGTTGAAAAATTGAAAAAAGAGTTTGATAAACCTATTCACCTCCCTCCAGGGTTATTTCTAGATTTCTTATTTTCCTTTTAGGTAGCTACTTGGATAACAGAATGCCTCACTGTGAAAAAAAATTATAATTAAGATTATCATCAATATGTTTTTGGCACTCTTACGGTTTATTTAAATTAAGATAGCGTAAAGTTCTTCGTTTCTTTTATAAAATATAAACATATTGTTATTGGCAATGTTAATAAAATTAGACCAACCCGGCCGGGCCGATCTGGGAACCGGTAAATCGGTCATATAATCAGTCCGGTTGAAGCAACGTATCGGTCATGCATCAGAACAGGTGCGACCGACTGGTTTTCATGAAAACCAGTGACCTGACCCGGTCCCAAAAAAAAAAAAAGTTCCAAAAATAAAATTTTCAAAAAAAAATCATAATGGACATATTTGAATATTTTTTTGCTTATTGACTTACATAAGTTATGTACCTACAACACTAATATTATCTCAATTATGCACTATACAGAAAATTTTGATTTGATTTATAGTTAGAGATGTCATTTACTGAACCTGAAGCCCCGTATCACGATCATTATATTTTTGTTTGATCCTTTATTAGATAATAATATGTGATTTATTATTTTTTAAATTAAAATATTTGAAATTTTTATCATTTTTTATAGATATTTGAGCATGTTGATAATTTTTTAATATAAATTATAAAATTCCATATAATTATCGAGTTATGCGGTTGAACCAATGACTCATTGGTTGAACTAGTGACCTAGTAACCCAGTATCTCAACCGGGTCAATAACCGGGTCAGTTTTAATAACATTGATTATTGGTGCTCTATTCAATTTTCTAGTTTTTCAAATATTATATTTAATTTATTGAAATAATAAATAAACATAATTAAAATAAATGAAAAAAAGTAAACTATTAGAATAATAATAATTTTTTCTTTAGCAACCATCTATATGTATATTGATGATGTATTCAAATACAACTATCAACATACACAAGACACATATAAATGACAAGCATGAAAGAAGCATGTGGATGATAATTGAACGTAACACCCTTTATTTGCAATGGTTATATATCTCATTTGCTTGTTCAATTCCATATCAAGTTTTTTCTTTGTTCTTTTGATTAATGTTAAGGAAAAAGTTCAAAACCCCCTTATGATTAATATTTTATTACTTACCCTTTATATTTCTACTTTTTATGTTTACCTCTTTTGTGTTTTTTTATTGTTTGCAAGAGCAAAATATATAGATTAACACAATATATAACGACATTAAGCTTTAACTTGGATGAAAAAAATAACAGGAAGATAGATGTTTAAAAATAATTATCCAAGAGTTGTTAATTTATTGACGACCGAATTGTATCCAGAATTTAATCTGCCCGAGAGTCGTAATTCTTGATGAGGGTGAAGAGGCATAAACCTGAAACAAAACTAATTAGGTCCATTAGAAACCTTGACATCGGTTTATATCTATAAAAAATGGGTTTTATAATTCTCATTCAACATGAGAATTCAAATTTTCCTACACATCCTTCGATTTTCGTGCTGACATGGATCCTACATATAATTTAACACATGGGTCCCACATGCTTTTTATCTCTACAACATGAGAATTGAATTCTCATTCAACATGAGAAAATCAAACCCCATAAAAAATTGAGAGAGAGAGGTTAAATAATATTAGAGCAAACTAGGGAATTTTTAATCTTTTTTATGAAACAAAATACCTTTGGAAATATTTTTCACAAAAACTTCTTCAAACAAATCCAAATTTTGTGCAACTATTAGACAAAAAAAATAGCTTCTGACAATTTGTACATATTCTAATTTTATCCTAAAATTAAAAGTTAAATCCTTAAATCCTTATGCACACCATGTAAGGGTAATTACGTAACATGAACTTAAATCTCCCAAAACCAAAAGCCCCTTATCCTATCTTCTTTGTGTTACTTCAACATCCATCAATTGAGGCTTCTTCTCTCACTCTCTCACTCTCTAACTCTCTCTGAAATTCTCAGAACCTTCATCACAATATGGCAACCACTCTATCAACCTCAACCCTCACCCTTCGTTCCCCTTCCTCTTATCCTACACCCTCCTCTTATCTTACGCACTCCCCCACCAAACCCTCCCTCCAGTTTCCCTTCTCTCCCCCCAACCACCTCGCCTTATCCCACCGCGCCACCCACCTCCGCCCCCTCGCCGCCGTTGCCGCCCCCGAGAAAATTGAGAAACTCGGCGCCGAAATCGCCGGCCTCACCCTTGAGGAGGCTAAGACCCTCGTCGACTTCCTTCAGGACAAGCTCGGCGTGTCCGCCGCCGCCTTCGCCCCAGCCGCCGTGGCAGCCTCTCCCGCCGGCGCCGTCGCAGACGCCCCAGCCGCGGTGGAGGAGAAGACGGAGTTCGACGTGGTTATCGAGGAAGTCCCGAGCAACGTGAGAATCGCGGTTATCAAGGCAGTGAGAGCGATGACGAGCCTGGCGCTGAAGGAAGCGAAGGAATTGATCGAAGGGTTGCCAAAGAAATTCAAAGAAGGAATTTCGAAGGACGAGGCTGAAGATGCAAAGAAGCAGCTCGAAGAAGCTGGTGCCAAGATCGCCATTGTTTAGCATCATCATGGTTTGTTTGTTGAGTATAGTGTAATGTTATTTGTGTTTTTTTGTTTATTTTTTAATGGTTGGATTTGAATTGAAATTGTAATGAGGAAAAAAGATTTTTTTATTATTATTCTATTTTATTTTTCATGCATGCGAGGTGTTTGTTGAAATGGGGATAAAGGGTTTTAGATTTTTGGAATGAGCTGAAGTGTTGTTTTTTGCATAAGAAATGTTTGGGTCATGGAAAAGGCATCGCATAGATTCACACGTAATCCATTAAATAAACTCTTTGCTAATTTTTTTAATGGTTGGATTTGAAATTGTAAATGAGGAAAAAGGAGTTTTTATTTTTTTTAATTTTATTTTTCATGCATTCGAGGTGTTTGTTGAAATGGGGATGAAGGGTTTTTGATTGAGGAGATGAACTGAATTGTTTTTTTTTTTTTTTTTGCAGAAGAAATGTTTTGGTCATGGAAATGGTACTTTTAAGGCATCTCATAAACTCACTCGTAATTCATTAAATAAACTCTTTGCTAATTCTTTATTTATGGTTCAGATGAATTCAGATTAGATAATGTAAAGGTTTTATAATGTAAGGATAATTTATCTGCAGTTATGAATTTATGATTACTAAAAGAGCATTGCAAGCATGTTTGTCTTTGAGATGTGGATTCTTAACATACCTTGCTTTGTTGTTGGGTGATTGAGTAAATCATTGCTGGTTATGTGTAATGTGTATTATGCATTTGGGCATGAAGCTTTAACTGTTAATAACATTCCCTCCTAGAATTTCTGTTCTGAACAAATGGCAATTTACTTGCATTGGTTATGGATCTGTTATTAAATCTTCAGTATTCTGTGTATTGTGTCTACCGGCAAAAAAAAATTAATTTATTGTTTTTTTAATAAAAAATTATGAAAATATAGTCGTTTTGAAATTATTTACGCAAATATAGCACTTAAACACGGGCACATGAGGCGTGTTCCAATGGAGAATGTGAGGCGTGAGTCATACGAGAGACACGTCCACATGGGGCTTGATCAGGAGAGAGACACGCCCAAAAGGGGCGTGAGTGGTTTGGAGAGAGACACTCCCCATTTGGGTGTGTTTCACCAGGTGCTGTCATGTGTCACAAGAGTCGACACTTTGATCATAAAACTTTAGAAGTCCATAACTTTTGACTCGGGTGTTCGAATTAGGTAATTTTTTTTTATTGTATATAACTTTTTGAGATCTACGTAATGACACCTCATTTGGTATATTTTGTCTGTCACAACAAAAATTTGAATTTACAACAATGATATCATAAGAACGTTTAAACCCAAATTAATAAAGAGAAAATCACTTTTTAATTAGGTTAAAAAATAGGAGAAGGTTATAGTTATTATCTCTTTATTAATTTGGGTTTTAACCTTCTCCTGATTAAAAAGTGATTTTCTCTTTATTAATTTTGGTTTAAACGTTCTTATGGTATCATTGTTGTAAATTTAAATTTTTGTGACAGACAAAAATGTCAAATGAGGTGTCATTACGTAGATCTCGAAAAGTTATGTGGAATACAAAAAAAAACCTAATTCAGACACTCGAGCCAAAAGTTATGAACTTCCAAAGTTTTACTGTCAAACTGTTGACTTTTGTGCCACGTGGCAGCACCTGGTGAAACACGCTCCAATGAAGAGTGTCTCTCTCCTGAGTCACGTTCAAATGGGGAGTGTCTCTCTCTAACGTGCCATGCCCATCTGGGGCGTATTTGACTACTATATTTACTTAAATAATTTCAAAACGACTATATTTTCATAATTTTTTATTAAAAAAAAGTAATAAATTAATTTTCTTACCTGTGTCTACTAGCTATAAATAATTGACGTTTATCTGTAGCTTTCACTGACCACAAGCTCTAACTTACAATTTTAAATACCATTAGCAGAAAGTAAAAAAATAAAATAAAAAGACTTGGTTTAAAAGATGTGTAATAAGTCTTTGTGAGCTTCTTTTTCTTTTTCTTTTATGGTATGCTGATTAAAATTAATCGACTCAGATCATTCTTTCCAATAAAAAATTAAATTAAATTATGTGGGTTTTTTATTGTCAAAGGACAGCGGCATGATCATTTTTTTTCAAGGGGGGGTTTGGTAGGAGGTTTCTTTTAGGATGATTGGAAAAGTTGAGATGGGTTTCCTAGCTGAGTATGTTTGATAGGAGGTTTTAAAAAATTTGCCTTTCATTCGGATTTGCATAGCAATCTCAGTTTATGTGTAAAATTAAAAAAATTTGTCATTTCAGAATACTATCCAGATTGTGGTATTTTCATTACTCCATCAAATAAAAATAAAAAAAAAAAAAAAGCAATGGATGCAAATATCTCTGCTCAAAAAACGTGCCAAAAGAAAGCTATAGGGAGAGAATTTTCTTTATATTTAGTCAGGAGTTAGTTTGGTAATTTTATCTCATTTTCCCATCAATATTTTACCTTCAACCAAATATAGATTCAGAAAATTTAACCCAATTTTCTCGGTAATATTTTGGCTTACCAAACAATTTTTTTTAACTTTCCTACCAAACTCATTTTCCTACCATATTTCTAATACTTGTATTTCCCTGGTAAAAAAAATTTCTCCTCCACCAAACGCCCTCTAAGTACTTTTGTTTTCAATCTTTTTTTCCCCCTTTTGCATGGATTGTCTGGGAAATTTTTTTTTTGTGGTCGAGGACTACCCAATAATGTGATGTTCTTTCTCACAACATCAATTTTTTCTTTCTCTTTCTATTCCTGCTATTTTTTTTTCTTTTCCAATTTTACCCTTCCATTTACACTAAGGGACCACCTAAAAAATGGTGGTCCGAACCACAATAAATAATCTCGATTGTCTGGTATCTCAACTTTCTCTTATTACTTTGCATTTTGTCTGTTTTCACATCCTTTTTCAATTTTAAACGTGCATGTTTATTTGGAATGGATGTTTGGGATGCTAAATTCCTAAGCTTTGTTCCCCAATATATATATATATATATATATATATATATATATATATATATATATATATATGAGGTAGGATCCTTTGACACCGGTGTCAAATTTTAATTTTGACACTTCATCTCAGATCCGTTAGATAAAAAAAGATCAATGGTGTCACATACTTGCAAATCAGAGTCATTGATCTTTTTTGATCTAACGGCTCTAATGAGGGAAGAAGGGAAGGTTTAGGGCAAAAATGCAGAATAGGGTGATGAAAGCTAAAGTTTCTAAGTTAACAGAGAATGGTAAAGATTGACGAAGAAAAGAAATGAGTTTAAATAAGCATGCAGATGAGGGAAAATGAGAGGTTTTTTAGGACGTGGAGGTTAAAGACAGGGAGTTGAAGAAGTGGTGGAATGGGAACGTTATGGAACGAAAGGTCAGGGTGAGTGGTATTCAACTGTTATTGATGGTGGTAAGGAGGTGGAACAGTTTAGGTTAGAAACGTGGGAGAGAGGAAATAGGGTAGGAGCAGTTGCATTAATGGCTGAGGAGACAGTTGCTTTTTCAGGGCACGTTTTCAAAATTTGCAATGAGTACAGATTTGATAACGACTGCGTATACGTAAGTGACTTAGCCAGGACAAGTGTCCTTGTCACTCTTATCTCCTAAGCCAGGGAACGTTCCCTTTGTCTTTTACCTATATAATAATAATAAACTAATTCCTAATAAATAAAATGCAAGCTTACTTAATAAAATAACCTGAAATATAAATTGCATTATAAAGAAATACTATTTATTTACTAAGATGAATGTAAAAAAATAAGAAAAATTATTATATATATATATATATATTTAAATAAATATGGGAATGTGTGGTTATTGAACCACCCCAAAACTACGTTCCTGGAACGGAACGTATTTTATTTGGATTTGGAGTTGAACATCAGACGTTCCCTCCATTTTGGGAGCTGTGTGGTTAAGGTTAACCACCCCAAAACTTTGCTCTTTGTTAGAAAGCAAAGGTATCCACTGGGTTGCCTCCCAATCAGCGCTTAGTTCAATGTCTTTAGCTAGACATGTTACTAACCTCTCAGGTTTATAGGGAGGTTGTTGAGGGAACTTCAGTATCCCCTAGTAAATGGCCTGGTGTCCTGGTGTTAAGGCTAGCAGCTATCTGTCCCAGGTGGGACTCAATGTTTCTGACCATAGCATTGTTCCTGGTAACATATTCTTTGACATAGCTTTCCATGGTGTTGATGCGTTGATCATCTCTTTGGAATGGAGTATAATTGGATCTTCTTTGTGGTTCATATGCTCCATTTCCACTGCTTCTGCCTTGTCGATACTGCTGTTGTTGATTGTTATATGGTCTTTGGCTCATGGGTGGTCTCCATTATGGATTATCGTTCTGATCCTTCACTATGGTTCATCCAGGATTTTGATTGTTGTTGCTTCCTGCAGTCTGGTTGTCTCTGGCCTGGGTGAAGTTTCTATTCCCGAAGTTTTCTGCATAATACACCAAGGCAGTAGATGGACAGTCTGTTGAATCATGAGGTCACCACAGGCTGAGCATGGTTCACTCTCAGTTGCTGTGAGTTGTAAGACTTCCATCCTTGGTTGTTCTTGATCAGCTTTCAGATTCTTCACCTCATTAATAAGGGTGGCCAGTTGGGATTCCATGGCTGTTTGTTTGTCTAATTCTAGCATTCCTGGCTCCTTACTGGGCTCATCCGTTCCAGAGGTCATTGGAGACATCTTTCTGTAGTGCCTTCAATGATTTTGTACTTGGATTCAAGGGTACCTGTAAAGAAATATCCTCATGCAGCAAAGTCTAAATGTGATTGAGAAGTATGATCAATGCCTTTATAGAAAGACTGTAAAACTCCCCAGCTCTCCACCCCATGGTTTGGACATTTTCTGATGATGTCCTTGTATCTCTCCCAAGCTTCATAAAGATTTTCTCCAAGAAACATTCTAAAGTTAGAGAGTTCTGCCCTAACATTAGCTTGTCGAGACATTGGGAGAAACCTTTCTATAAACTTGTTAGAAAGTTCCTCCCAAGAGTGGATGGATCCAGGGGTGAGAGTTTTCATCCATGTTTTTGCTTTTGAGCCTAGGGAGTGAGGAAATAGCCTCATTCTTATACTTTCCTCTGTCACACCCTCAGCTTTGAAGTTATCACAGATGTCTT